TTTTGGAACTGTTATCAAAAGTAACAGAATCGCTAGATTCTAGAAAAGCATACTTTAATAGAAATTATATTATATGTCATTGTGACTAAAGTTTTATAAAATAATCTTTTTCATTACTTCTGAGACAGATATTGTATTTAATACTTGCCTTTTAAGTTGTTCCAGCTGCCTGCAGACTTTTATTATAAAGTATTTATTGACTATCTTTGGTATTATCTTCAGTAATTCCCGAAGAATAGCGTAGCGATTCTTGTCAATAGCCACGTGTGCAGCACGTTCCATTATTTGTGCATGTTTTATTAATTGTGCATGTTTTATAAAAACATCATTTGGCTTATCTCTAAAAATACCTTTCCTTGGATTGTCTACTACATGAAACCAGTTTAGGATTTCTTTCACTGCCGTACGAAGATCATTTTCCGTGGCTGTTACCAACAATACTTCAACTGTTTTCGAAAAAATTTCCTCATCATTAAACATATTCTCCAGGAAATTTTTTTCATCGTTAATAGTCAGATAATAATGGAGATCATTAATATAAGTTGTAGCAAACTGACGTGCATAAGGTTTGTTCAGAAAGAACAACATTTCTGAGAAATTCTGCTTGATCATGTCTCGTGTCGTCTGGTTGCGTTCCCTATAATCATCTAAATCTAGGTTTTGTTCGTGTTTTTGTAGTATTAGTAATACCATGTCTCTCTTTTTCTTCTCTGCCGCTAGATAGAGAGCAGGCCGGCCTTCGCTAAGAATATTAGCGTTAGCACCTTTTTGCAGAAGCACAGAGGCACACATTCGGTCGTCTCTGTTCACCGCGATATGCAGAGCGGTCTTCTGTCCAGCCTGGAGATTAGGATTTACCGTCGGCTCAGCTAGTAAAGCTTCCAACGTGTCGACGTGTCCGCCTTCGGTGGCGAAATGAATAGGCGCGGATTTGAATAGCTTGTTCACTCTGTTAGGATTTACTCCTTCACGCAATAAACTTTTTACGAATATCGTTAGGCCATGTTTACTAGCTATATCGAGGCATACCTTATTTAAGTTGTTAAATTCGGTCCTTTCATAATAAAAAGATATTTCTTCCAAAGCATCCAGTACGATATTTTTGAAAGATTCGAAGTCTTTGTTTTCGATACGCTCCGAATTCTCATAAAGATTTTTTAGCTTGGGCAAAGGCTCACAGATCTGCAGCTGTCTATACATCTTTATCTTTTTGGGCGCCTTTTTGTTGTTAGAAACTTGCAATATCAGTATTGAGTCAGCTATTTTGAAAAAAAATATTGAAGTTGTAATATTTATATAATAAATTTATATAATATTTAAATTAATAAGTTTATGGAGGAATAGAATTATTGAGCCTAGTAAAAATATTAGATAAAATATTAAATGTTTTCATTGTATTTGTTTTAAAAAGAATATAAATCTTCCTTACAAATTTACTTATTTTGAGAAAAATATAAAACTTTATTATAATTTATAAATAAAAATTACTTATCTACATGATATATACACAGTTGGAAAACTGCGGTTAAATTTACCTGATTTGCCATATTTCACATGTCCCAAATGATATCCAAATTTTTAACATAAGATGAATAATGTTAGAAAATAATACTAACATTATGTAAAAAATAATGCAAAAAGTGTAATACTTTGATACAATTTGAAAACAAATTGTGCAAGCATATTTCTTTAGTAAAAGTAACATTTATTATATGTTAAATTAACATGTATTTATCTTTTATTCTCTTATTTTATTTCTCTTAGAATTTAGGTTTTAAAACTACATTATTTTTATGTTCACTTGTAAATTATGTTATTTTACCATAACTAAGACATTAAATATCAAATTAACACAATATATTTAAATAACGTAATCAGATTATGTTAAACACTGGAGTATGTTAAAAATTCAATACAAATTTTTAACAAGACCCGTTTTTAACATAAGAGTATAAAATGTTTTCCACTATGTACATATGCACGACAAAGTAGATATCAGATGCGAAACATATATGGAAGAAGTGTTAAGAAACACGATGTTTCACATTACTTCATAATTCTCTGCACATCGACAAGATTTAATTTGATAATTCACATTCAAAAAGTATGTACAAAAAAACTTCGCACTATTAATCAATATTTGAAATAATTTTAGCGTAATGATGATCAGTTACATACCTAAATACGTACCTACATGTACCTGATATCGCGGCTGCGAATAGACTAAAATGGCTTTATCGGCGGATATATCTAATCGCATAGATATATCCTAGATAGCACATTATATTTATCAATTTGCGAGCGAATTGATAGCAAATGGAAAGTGTATCGTTGAGAAATTCTAAGAATGAATTATTGGTCAAAGCTACACGATATAGCAGAAAATCACATTGAAATGTAATAAATTTCTAGAATATAATATAATCTACATATATAATTTTCGATGAAGTTTTGGTTTTTTTAGATATATTCCGTATTTTAATAACATTCTTTTAAAAAAAATTTTCTATATTTTTTTGAAGTTCGTAACTGTAATTGGCAATAATATATAATAATAATATATAATAATAATATATAATAATAATGCCTATCAATAATATGTAATCATGTATTAATCAAAATTGTTCATTTTCTAAATAATAAGCTTGTTTATTTTCATAGTTACCAATAATATTATTTATTTGTCAATATTATAATCAAGTATATATTTAGGATAGTAAACTATGTTTTAATTGTATATTCCTTATTGCATTTAAAAAGAATAATTATATATTTAATTCTGTAAAAGGAATTATATAGATTATGTTATCTATTCGCTGAACTTTATATTCTCTAAGATTGTAATTTTTGCAAACACATATATATGTATATTCATATTTTGATATATGTCGAATATGTCATGATATAAAATCATTTTCAGAGAACGTGATAATATTTACAGTATAGACATCAAACCACTCACGATTCTTGAATTTTAGTTAAAATTTTGTTTTCTTTTTGCGATAGTTTCAATTTTTTCGACTATCGAATAAAATTTATTGCTGTTTCTACAATATTTATTTGACAAAAGCGATTGTTACAAAAAAATAAATAAACTGCGTAAGTCAGTTTTTAATTGTTGGTCGTAATTTATTAGTATGCTAATTGTAAGCAGAGAAAGAGAGAGGGCAAAAGATGAAAAGAAGAAAAGAAATCACGATATACTTTCTATATACCTAAAGATATATTTTAATAATTATTATAATTATTCTAAACTTCACAATCTCAGCGAATTGATTTAATACAGAAATAACTGATTATTCTTTCAGACTTAATATCGTTGATAGAAATTAATGTGCAAGCAGAAATCCCATAATTAACCCATCAGCAGATGTATTTTATGTGTACACGACCGGAACGAGTAACTCCTAAGGTGCATGGAACTTCACTCCCTGTATTTCTGTCCCCGAGCTACGAAGAAAGTTTGGCAAAGCCCGGCGCCAGTGAGCCAAAACACTGCTTTCCCGGCGTCATCTCTCATACCCGCTCTCGACCCGTTTGTACGTGCAAGATTTAGTTGTCGCTATAAAGCGCTTACCGCTTCCTGCGTACCTAAGTCCCGCCGTGGATCAGAGGCCGCAAATGTCATCCTTATTCAGGAATGAAATATAGGTCGTGATGCGCGTCACACACGTATACAACAATCTCGTTCTGCTAGTCAGGCGAGATCCGATCGGAAGTGAAGCGTCGACGCAAGAAACGTCGTCGTTGAAATTATTATCCGACCGTGCTTGCATATCGCGGCATAAAAATGACGAAGGAGCGCATTCTACTCCGCGGGTCGTTTCGTTTCCATTTGATTGCCGAATATCCTTTAATCCGTCGCGAAAGTTAATTATCTTTGTATTCTGAGGAAGTTGAATAGAGAGATAACTACGAGATTTTGTCGCGTTAAATTACGTTGTATCTAATCTTTCGTGATTATTTATAAGATACGACACGTTGGATCCATTGATTCAGAAATCCGTATCTCATAAGCCCGTAAACGCGTTTTCCCGATGATAGCATAGCATTACGGTGAAAGCTGTCCGTCGGAGAGGAGCGGAATTCTCGCGGGGACAATAAACCGTATTATGGGTAGTACAGAAGTTCGTAAAACTAGCTCGATAGCTCGCTATAGGCGCGCCGAAAGTGAAAGCTCTCAGTACGACATCGGGGTTGCTCGTCCCGAACCACGATCACACGACATTGCAAATTCGCTCGTTACAGTTGAGATACGCGTGACACGCCGATAATACTTGCACGGTAACGTTCGAATGACAGTGAATTCACTAGATAACGGCGAGGTAGTTCAAAGTGAAATGACGTAGCGCGGACCTGAGTGGTTTGTACTATGTGGTCGGAGTACACATTCAACAGCTTTTACTAGATGGATTCAAAGCCGACTCAAAATACCAAGGCATTTCACAGTCTTGAAGTAATTCAATCTTTATGTGCTCGTCTTTGACTTATCTTATATGTTATTGTTGTTTATCAGATAAACGAGCGGATTTTATTATTTGATATCTTGATAGGAGATCATCGGTTCTTACGTTAAACGATACTAAACACACACAAAATTTTTAATTAAATTATCAGTCAAATGAATCAAAAAGTACGATATTAGACATAGTTACACATAGAGAATTACATTGAAATATAGAAAGACTTCTAGACTACGTATAATATATTATTTGGTTATATTAATACTTTCTCTGAGATTTTTCTACAGCAATCTTTTTTAAGCGGAGTTGTTACATTTTCTCAAAGTTTATAAATATTATAATTTTCCTATATTAAGATTTTCTTTTTTTCGGGGATAGCAGGTCCATTTATTTATATAGCTGCCAATATTATTTATTCATCAATATTACATTCAACTTATATTTAGAATAGTTTTATATAACTATGTTTTTTAATTATACTTTATTGCAATCCCTTGCTTTTTTTCTCCTCTTATTCTTTTTGTTTTTTTCAACACGAAGAGTTTCTGCTTTCATGCTTGACAAAGAAAGGAAGGGGAAGAATGCGAATGAACGTACTTACGATATATTGCTCTTGCAATATGTTCTGCCAATAAAGTATATTATTTCCAATTTTCGGAAAAGGTCGGCACACACATAAGATGATTCGGAGCTTCCGTATAGCTTTATATACAATCTTTGGATAAGCGATTGTACTAAAGTATCGGTGTAATATAATATCGCGGTTGTAATAATATAAGTGCCTATGATATCAAATTCTATAAATAACGAAGTTTCTTTAAAACAGATATTTCTTTTTTATACTTGGACGAAAAGATCCTAGAACTCGGTATATCAACTATACATAGGAATAACTTGAAATTTCGTTATGTCGTATGTAGCGCAAAGATGCGTATTGCTATATAATAAAAATAATAATATAAGCTGTACGAACTCAATATGGTGTTTACGCAAATTACATTATATTTCGATACTGTTTACACTTCGCGTATTTACATTTCTCTAACACAATTCTTAATCACGAAACATGATTCAAAAAAATTGCCGAGTTTGCACTTGGAATTTTACTTGGGAGGATTATCATAATACTAAAATATCGAAATTTCCGTTCGTTGCGCTAAAGCTCGGCAGCTGGTCATGTATTCGCAATAGAACGACTAAATAATTCCCTCCGTGTAATCAGTCCGCGTAATTTTTTTGCCCCCTCTTTCCGCGGCGTTCCGACAATCTTTCGCTCTACTCCTTCAAGCAGAGAGACGCTCCTTTCACCGGTCGTTCTCCGTTGAAACACGCAAGTGTACACGTACGCAATGGTAAAGGAGGCGGAATCTTTATTACAAATCTGAGTGCACCTGTGCGGGCGTATACACAGAGGTGCCTGCTACTCGACGATCACGGTAGGAATAAGGGAGGTCGTTTTATTTCGACGGTGTTTCAATTTAGCAGCCGCTGCGAAAGAGTTTCGAGCTTTTATCGCGTAACTTTTGCCCGGCGGGGGATAGAAAATAAAAAGACGAGTCGAGGAGGGAAAGGGAAGGGAAGGGAAGGGGCGCGAAGCATCAGGCCGAAAATATCAGGCGAAATATAAAAACGAGAGACAGCGCGACCCGGTACGAATATTGCATAGCGATATTAGTATCTGGAATTTAAATATAAGTTACGTGTGTGAATATAAACAGTCGTGTGTATTGAGCAATTTTTCTAAATGCTCTTGCATATCTATTTATATTATCTACGATTTTTTAGCAAGCAAAAAAGAATTGTGCAAAATAATCCGCAGGTACTCCAATATTCTAATTTTTAAAAATGCTTTTATAAAGTTGCATAATTTTCAGCTTTACCCCTTAATTAATTAATATTTTTTTATAAATCTATCCCATAATAATGAATAAAAACTTCAACATTTCCACAGAAGTATAATCTGTAATCAAATTTTTAAAAATAAGCGTTGAACAAGATCAAAGAATATTATGAAGAGATAAAAAAGATCAACCTTACTAAATTGAAATTTGGAAAAATGTATTCAAGCGCTGATGTATTATATGCTGAATTTATCGGTGCGTTCTCTTAATTTAAGTTTTCGATGACGTTAATTGCCAGCCGAAACTTGGATCGTTTTAGGCGACACATTATCGAGAGACTTTCTATATTCTATATTCGTTATTTCTTTCTTGTGGTTTCCATTATTATTTGCCATTGTCGTCATCTAAATTGATCTCTCATTACGTTAATAGAAACACAAATAACTTGCCATATAGGTTTCCGTGTTCAATGAAAGTGGAATTTTATTGACGATTTTAGCGGATACCTGTCGTTCTTTTTTCCCATTTTCCGGGGACTTACATGTGGGTCAAATCCTGTTTAGCATCGACCTTAACTTCGTCCCGCTATTTCTATCGAACTCGAACTGCGCGATTAAGCGGATTCCTTTTTACGACGGGTGTAAATCGGAATCGGGATCGGGATTCGCATTTGTTATATCGAAGATACCAGGTGTTTTCCAGTAGATGTGCGGTTTGCCACGGCGACAAAAGACTCGCCGCGATTGTTCCGTTCCATGTTGCGTTCGCTATTGTCCGTTTTCGCTTTCAAATTCAACGCAATTACTGCGATAGCTGACAAGCACTTCATATTGCTCGCGCAATTGTTCAGTCTTAAAAACCTCATATTTTCTGTATAGAATATGCAGTATGATAAAATAATTATGTTTTGCAGAATGCCGCGTAATAAAATAATCATGTTTTTTGTAGAATGCCATATAATAAAATAATTATGTACTTGTAGCGGGTCCAAAACGGTTAAAAACATGCGCGCGTAGAAATAAAATAAAATCACATAGAATGTTGTAATTCGATTAATTTCTCTCTTAAATGTTATAAATAATTGTATTACTATCGTTTATATAATGTACAGTTTAAGAAGTTTTACGTTTAAATGAGGCTGCAGTTTAAACTCACTAAAATGCATTTACTGTTGAAAAGCATGCAAACCTACTTTAACTCGTATTATCGTGGAACAGTTATGACGATAATTGTATAACAGTTATAGTAATAATTTTTAATCAACTAATTGCAATAATATCTATGCATAGATTAAAACATGTAGAAATAAACGAATGAAAATTGATAAAACTATTGAAATTTATAATAAGCAGAACTTTAACTTACGACGCGGTTGGAACTCGTAACATTTGCATAGATGCCGTTATACGTACGAATGATTAAAGAGAATAAACACGCGAGCATACGTGTTCCTGCGAAATAAGTCGTAATAGATTGTAATAGGTCGCACGTGAGTCGCGACGCAAGAAATAATAATCCGTCATTGAGATTCTATTTTCTGGAGAGAAGGGAGAGAAATGCTAAGTGGTCTGTAAAAACATCTGGTCGCATGCAGTGAAACTGCATTTTTCTCTTACCTGCATCATAAAGCTGTCATCAGGAAGTCGATGAATGCTAATACAAATTGTGTATTAAAATATTCTTGTTTTTGCAACTGTGAAATTTGTAAAAATAGAGCTTTGTTGGCTCCGTCTGGAAGAAATATTTATAAAATACATATGTACAAAATATATAAAATAACTAAGAATTATAATCGAACTGATTATATATTTTACATATATTTACATAATTTATATATGTATATTTATTTTTATTATTTATGTAGGTCCTATAAAAACAAAAATAATATTGTTAGCAATCCTGTAAAAATTACTAGGATATTTAAAAAAAATAAATATATAATATTCACAAAAATTTAAAAGCTTTACATATAAATACTTAAAAATAATCCTTTCAAAAAGAACAATTATAATATCTCAAATGTTGTTAAATTTTTAGTACCATAATGCAGCTTAAAAGAATTATCGGAAAAATTATGAATAGAAATTATCTTAATCGCATTATTTTTTTCATAAAGCTTTTATCTTCCTATTACTTACACGAACGCTTTTACAGTATGTACTCTGAAAGATCACACAAGGCCTGCTAATAAAAATTTTATATATATTGAAATAACTTTGAATTATTTATAGAATAATGAACGAGGACACTTTCCAAGACCTATAGGAAATAAATTCATTATACCCGTATAGTCACGATTAATGTTTTATTGAATGCGTAGTTAGAATGTTTAGTATTTACATTGATTCCACGTATTCAGATAAATAACGTTGATGAGCGCGAGTTCGCGGCCGCGCATCGCCACGTGTCGTGCGTGCCGCGCATAAAACTCGATGTATGGTTAAAGACCGCTCATCGCGTTTCCCATCGCGGAAAAGCCGCGAAACCAACCGCATCGAGCCTTTCGCGAAACATTTCGCGAAGCACCGCGGAAACACGAGGAATCCTTCCGAAGTACACTCCTTCGTCACCCCCTTTCTTCACCCCCATTATTTTACACTCCAAAATCTGGCGCTAAATGTTCCGGAGGAAAAATGTCTAAAGGACACAAAGGCATCCAGAGGAGGATATCTTTTACAAGCGTCTTTCAAATATCACGTCCTCTGGATCTTCGCTTTATCTTCGCTATTTTAATGAAACGAGAAACAGAGCCTTGCTCGATGGGGAAGAGTCCTCGTCGTCGGTAGAACAAAACGCATAAGTCCCGATTTTCGTTAAAAATAATAATTGAGGAAGGAGTGTATTTTGTGTCTCGAAAGATCCAATCGCTCGCATCGCTCGCGTGACGCGCGCCATCCGACGTTGGATTATTCATCAATCTCGAGGACGTATGGGAAAGTGGGTATACACTTGAAGAGGAACGAAAAAAAAAGAACGGGCAAACGCGGAATAGGGAGAGCGCGAGCAAAACCCCTCTCGCCCACTCGCGTTCGCCCGTATCTCCTCGTTTCTTCTTTGCGCTCACATCGGGCAGTCGTTCGCCAGTCGAACGAACGTTTTGCATTTATCATTTATTTAAAGATAGGTATACACCGGGCGAACAAACAGCGGAGAATGCTTCAGTGTATACCCACCCGGGAGAATCGCGAGGTGCGCGGAGAAAGAAACTTCCTCGCAATGGCGATGGCACCGCGAGAGAGTCGACGGGAATTGAGGTAAGGCTTTCTACAGCGCGCGCGGAAAGAAACGTTTCGCCTCGTCCACCTCCTGCAGGCTCGCGTAATCAAGTTGTCGCGTGAAAATCTGCTTGTCTTATCTTGTCCGCGATTTCGAAGAAACGTACACCGGGGGCGCGCGAAAGGAAGATTTACTTAAACTCTCTGCTACCGGCACAAGATAACAGAATTTACAGCCAGGGCGGAACTTACAGCCTTTGCACGTTTGAAATATATATATTTTCTATCGTTGCACGCGGCATACCGATCTCTCGATCGGAATATTTTTTTATCCAAATTCGTGTTTATTTGTTTATTAGAGCATGAGAGTTTCGAATAGATTCGTTTTTTTTCTTGTCAAATTTGATTTGCAAAGTACGAAAAAAGGACTTCATACGTAATGATAGCGAATTTCAATCGATTTAATCGAAGAGTACGATTCGTCATTATTACGGCCTTGCCAACGAGTGAGTCTGGTCAACGACAAACAGAATTTTCGCAGCAACCTCTACGTTATATGCAATAACGCATCGCATATACGGTGAAAGCTCGATCGAAATGCTATCGAAAGGGATGTTTGGGCCAAACAAAAACATATGTGCAATCAACGAATGCGGCAAACGGTAGGCGGTACAAATCACTTTGGGATTCGAAAATATGAACGATACTGCGATTAATTGGAAGAACGATAAATCGAGCTCTCGCCGTGTACATTTTGTCTGTACGTAACGAATATATACGCGTATATATGTATATATGTAGAATGCACGTACGAAGAAAACGACTCACCGATCACGCACACCGAAAGATATAATCAACGTGCCGCGTATCGAGCGGAAGGGTTCTCTGTTCGGGGAAACGGATTTCCTGCGGGAAACCGAATTTCCAAACAAATCAGGGGACTCCCTTTCCGCTTACGCGACCTTTTTTTTCTCACCAATGCGTATCTTACGACGTACCTTAGTACCATAATTCCGTAATCCTCTGGTCTCATTGCGATCCACGCGGTTACGTCCGAAGTAATTGGTAATTTTGCCACGAGAAAATTGTATTGCACAGCTTAAACAGTAATTAAAAAAAAATAATAATAATATATTTGTAAAATAGAAATATATTCGCGATAAATTCATCGAAATTTATCGTGGCAAATTACAGTGAGATTTAATTTATTATTATTTCCGAATGTAATATATTGGTTATTTGTAAATTATTGATTACTTTTCGCAGTTCTTAACACATTTTTTTTTAAATATTATTATTTTGTACGATTTATTATCACAAAAGAATCTCTAAGTACAACAAGAGAAATTGTGTTCGTATTTACACGCTGAAATCTTTATCGCGGACAGGAGTAGGGTTGGACTGTAACTTCGCGCGCAACGAAACGCGTAGAATTACGCGAGAATTTAAGAGTAAAACGTATCCTACGGTAAATCGCTAGCTCAATTCCAAAACGGAGTACAGTCGTTCCGGCAAAGCACACTTTACACGGCACTCGCGCGAGAACGGGCTCGAAGGATGGAAGGTGCGAAGGATTGAAGATCGGCTTCCACCAGGTGTGTGTGTGTGTGTGTATGGTGTGTATGTGTATGTGTGTGTAAGTGTGTGTGCACCGTACCGAAACAAACGGACTCGCGCCGGCGACTCTCTCTGTTCTTGAGCTACACAGGAGACACCGTCGGCCGAGGACACAACGAGCACGCGCGCGCGTTAACTCCGCGGCTGTCAACCCCGAATTAGCGGTCTATCTAGTTACACGCAAAAGAGACACACGCAAGGTAAACCGAGGCATCGCCGAGTTTGCACGCGCGGCGACGACTATCACGCGCGCACAGTCATTTCCCTCCCCCGGCACCCACCGGAGTTTCTTCACCGGAGTCGGAAATGAGGGCCGAGGTCGCTCTCTTGCCGGCACACCGGGAGCAGCAGGACAACGACTTCGGGAACTCGTTTTCCTCACCAGGCCCGCCCGTCAGGTCGCGGGGGGACACGCGGGCCGCAGGACGCCGCCGGGACGGCGGTAATTCACGTCGGGTAAAGGCTCGTGAAACTCGGTATCCTCCAGCTGACGGCCGCCAGGAGGGACACGAGAAAGTTGCTCGCCAAAATTGCCGGGCTGAGGTTCCTTCTGTCGCCCCCGTGCATCGCCGCCGGCTTCTCCTCCTCTGCAACGAGATTAGATAGCTGCGTTTCATACGCGGCGAAAAGGGTTTGGGGGATGGAGGAGGGCGAGCGGATACAAACCTGAGCGGGCTGCTTAATGTTAGATTACTACACGTGTAGGAGGACTTGTTGGATATAATATTATGCGCAGTAAGACGCTTGAAATATAGAGCTACGACACATTTGCGTCTGTTTGCAGGATCGATTGCGGTCCCAACGAAAGTTTTCACATCCTTCTTAGGGATGATTTATTAAGGAACGGAAACTGAGAGAAGTTGCGGGCTATAAAATCTTATCAACTATTTGTTTTCGTTTCCGGATAACATATATATGTATGTCACGCAATATTTGCTATACGCGACTCAACATGTCACTCTTTACACAAGCACACATCCCATGAGAAATTTGAATATTTCTTATGCAAATCGTTATTCTTTCAACAACAGTAACTTGACTTTAGCAAAAAGAAACGTGAGATAACAGATTCCCTTTTCGTAAATGTAAATTCTAGAAAGAATGACTCTACAAATAAATCAGAACAAATCGGGTTAACAGCGAAGGAATATAATATTCATTATCGTTATCGTTTGTTTTTTTTAATTGATAATAGAAGATATTTTAAAGTTGTTACATGTATGCAGAACAAAGCAGAAATTCTAGAGAAAACCGAGAAAGAGATTTCTTTTCTCACGGAACGGTGAAGCCTTCCCTCGAGAGCGAGAAACAGCGTTTTAAACGATCTCAGGTCGTCCCGCCGTTCCTAGTTGAGATATAAGCTGAAACGCGGATCATTTCACATTTCTTCTTGTAGAAAAATACCGCTCGACAATCTGGTCACGTGCGTGACGCTCCCCAGTTGTCACGCGCTTCGGCGTCAACGGAGGACATGGCAAACAGTGGATGAATATCTGTCAAACTTCTCGAGTTTTCCAAGGCAGTTTCCCTCTTCTCACGCCACCTTAAAATCCCTCAAAGCAAGTTACTCTTTCGAATGCTAAAATTTAATTCTAAAATTCTTCAGTAAGCAACGAATTTCTTTTGTAATTCTCCATACATCGTCGTAGTTCCAAACGAATTATCGGACACCATAAGTCAGCAACGTTTCAGAAATATTTTATAAAATCTACAATAATCTTTATAATACAATAATACAATTCTCTCTTTTCGTACGTTAAATAAACTTTTATTCCGTTATTTAAAAAAAAAACAGGAAATTTGCTGTTTAATATAAAAATGTAATAACGTGGCATTTGAATGTGCATTAATAATTCTCATTATATAAGAACTAACTATCATTATATCATTTTTAATTCGCAAATAATAATAATAATTAATCCGAAGTTAATTTTAAATTTATCTGGCGTACAGAACTTTTCAAATTTTAGCTGTTACTCCAACTCAACATTGTTTCTCTTTTTTTTTTTATAAGAACAAGCGCGCTTGGGTAAACAAGACCGTAAAGTTTAATGTATAAAGAGACTTAATATAATCTACACTATAATGCCTTGGAAAAACTTTCGACGACTGGCGATGTCGAAGCCGTGTCGCGGCATGAGCACGGGGAAAAAAACGGATTAAAATAAAATCGTACGGGGGATGGGGTGTATTGTGTCTTGTGTAAGGAGGAAATAATAGATAAGTTTGATAATGCCCCACGGACACTATCGCATTGTTACGTAGTTACTAAGCGCGTTAAGGTGTAAGTAGAGCCGGCCCGAAGTTATACGCCGTACTTGCAAAAAAATTGCGTTCGAACTTCGTCCTCGCGGAAGAAACTTGGGGAGGAGGGATTTTTTGTAAAAGTTTCGTCGTTAGAGGGACGGCCGTACAATTTTGAAGCGCCCTTCTGTTATCGTGGGCGAGCTATATGCAATGGGATCGCGGGATGAATGCGCCTGCGAAAGCCGCCGGCGCTAAATCCGATCGTAACGAGCTATCCCTACGAGCCATGTAATTGTTCGGCACTTACTCTAATGAATATTCAAGTTTCGTGGAAGTTCCTTCTCGCGCCGATCGGCGGCTGATCTCTTCTTCCCCGAAAGTAACTGAAGCGAGTTAATTACCATCGCGTTTTAATTCCGCGAATTCGGCGTACCGACACAATCCGCACGTGCTGCGAGAAACCTCGCTAAAATCGGATTCTTAGCGATCGCATCACTGTAATCCACGGGACTTAGCATTGCCGTACATTAGTGAATCCCAAGGAATGCCAATGACGTACAATCATCGGGAAATATCAACATTCTCACGTACGCACGTGTGCGCGACGCGTGATATCGCTCGTGAATCGCGCACCTTCAATACTCTAATTTTTAATCGTGATACCGCTTGAACCGCGCATCTTCGACCTTCTAATTTCTAATCTTTTTGTCACGTAATTCACGAAAAAGATTTCTATATCAAAGAATCTATCTTTTATCTTTTAAGATACGCAAACTCCAATACAAGCTGAAAGACAAATTCCATTAAATTGATTAAATATTAAACGTGATACTGCGCGATTAAATTTCTTATTAAATTTAAATTGCGAAATTAACGTTAAGATATACATTTCGTCGACACGTCGATTGGCATTCCTCGACTGGCACGGAATAATATTTTATTGAATTAATTTTCGCGTACAGAAATTTCCCTCAATTAACCTCCAATTCCCAAGCTAAATCCCGCTGAAACTAATGAAGGTACGGCTTCGCGTTTCTCACCTTCGATTACGTGAACCATGACAGACGCCGCCTTGGCGTTGCTAGGCGCGCACGTGTAGTTGCCGTCGTGCGTGAGCTTCGTTTTGTCCACCGTCAGAATGGAGCCGCTCATCGTGAGTTTGACGTCGACGCCGGGCTCCTCGTCGTAATTTATCATACGACCCTGACGATACCAGAAGACGTAAAGGGGCTTTTCCGTGGCCGCCATAAGATGGCATTCCAAACGGAGGCTCGAGCCTTGCTTCACGTGCAGATCAGGCGCACCCGGTATTATCGAGTACGCCTCCGTAATCTTGAGACGAGCGAAGTTTCGCTGCACCGGATGCGACGTCACCTGCAATCATAACATAGCAATGCCTTTAACTTTTCATAGTACGTTAAGACACGAATTCGAAGGGGCATTGAAACATTTGTACGGGATGGCAATCGGGAAGTTGTCGAAACTAAATAAAGAGCTGTTATTTTGCGAGAGAAATAGGTAGAATGAAATGAATTAAATATTATACCGCAGAAGAAACTTATGGTTTTTTAATAGCGTATAGTATGAGAAAAAACTTCCAAGAATATATTTTATCAAGGAAAGTCCATTCTCGTTACATAATAATATAGCTCGTTACATAATATAACAGAAGCTATTTAATGTTTTAACAACTTTCCGATTATCAACTTGTATATAATTCATTTGCTAATGTAATAAAGAAAAATCGATTTTTAACATAAATTTACCATTAAGTTATCTAAAATAGACATAAGATTATATGTAAATACGATTATACATTAATTGGAATAATAGTAATCTTATATAAATTTAATGTTTTATTCGATATAAAAACTTGATATTAAGAAATCGGGCCGCTGTAACTTGAGCATTTTCCGCACAACAATAGCTAATTTCAAATTATAACAAGCATTATGCTGTAATATATACTATAAATTGTATTCACATCGTCAAAGCGATGTTGATTGTCCTTTAGAGAATCCAGCTGGGACTAAAGCCGCGGCTAATCACCGCGACCTGAAACACAGCTTGTGTGAACGACCGTTTTGGCATTTCGGCTGACATTTTAGACATGCGAAACCTTTAACGAAGTGTCATAAATTCGTACATTAGAAATTACTCAATTTATCGGGTATAGCTGAAAACGTTCAAAAATGTTACTTCACTTAATCGATACTGAAAATTTAATTCATTCAATCTTCTAAAGCAAGAATCGATCAATATTAAACAAACATATGAAATCCATCTCATATTTAAATATTTAAATATTGATGTGATAGTATTCTTATTTTATTATGAAAGCTTCATGATATGAATTTAAAAAAATCGCACTTATATATGTGTATTAATATATGTGGTTTGTTTCTATTTTATTTGTTTACATATACTTATATAATAGTTGAAAAAGAAAAACAGATGTAGAACATTAACGATTAAAGATAAAGTTACCAGTTAAACGTGATACTTTAATATTAAAACACAGAAATACAGGTAAAAATATGTTAAATAAAAATTGTAGCAACATCACAATTAAATGTCTTGAAAATTAATAAAATATATTATAGGAGAATAAAATGTTTGCGAAATTACCTGACATTCATAGATGCCAGCATCGTCCATCGTTACGGTGCGTATTGTGAGTTGCCAATCGGTGCTCGAATGCCTGACGACAAATCTCTTGTCAGTAGAGTGTGTGCTGGTACCAACTGTTAATAATTGTCTGTCCCTCCGTCTCACCCACGTGATCTATAACAAAAAAAAACAACTAGAAATATTTAATGTACGTAATATAATAATTTTTACTTTGGAAAGCTTTTTTTTATTCTTTTGGTAATTTATAATTAAAAGGCACAGCTACAACCATTAAAAAAATTACTATAAATCAACGTGGCAAATAGAAAATTAAATAAAATTGCAACACTACGACATGTAACCATATAGTAGAGCAGTATTTATTGTGAATACAGTGTTCAAAATATTCTTATAGATTTATGTATTTTTTATAATACACTGAAAATATATTTGTAAATAATAATTAAAAAATACTTTTAAAGATTGTTTGATGATGCTCTTACTTTGATAATATTATATAAAATTGAAATAATTGATTCTCTTATACGGAATTAAATAAATTGCAAATGAAGGGAAGAGTAAATTTACTTTTAAATTAGTATAATTTTATGATTTTATTATAGTGCCACACAATATTTTATCTCTAAAATAGTAATTACGATTGGCTGAAGGATTTGAATAATAAAAGTTATTTATGTGACACAATGTTCGAAAACCGTAAGTTATTTATAGTAACAATATACGTACGGGAAACAATGTATGTCACGTGGGGCAATGTGAGAGCGAAGCCTCGACACGCATCGAATATCAATTATCACGGCCATTAGAGCACGCTAATTTCAAGGTAATTTTCGTTCCCCAGAGAACAGACCACAAAACTATGCCCAATATATCGGATGGCAGCTACATCGTACAGTATTTTAATTATGTAGAGATATCATCAATCCTGTGCCATTTTTGGGCACAATCAAAGAGAGAATCAATTTATTTAATTATTCATTGTAAATCCGAATCTATTAAATCGTTGAAAGAGGAAAGAGAATTGATTTACGAACATATTATTAGTAACAGTAATTAGAGCTTTTCTAATTTTATCAGCACACACATTTACTGTTAAACATTGAGAAACTTCTCTTTGAACATTATAGAGGAGAGAGAGAAGAGGATTTAGAAGGAAGTTCTTAAAATATCTTTTATGTTAACAATAAATTGTTCTCTCGTACCATATGTAAATATTATACACATACAAATCGTTATTACTTCTTACGCGGGTATATGTTTTATCGTCTGACTCTTTCAAATATAGCGTGTCACGTCAAAGCACTCTATAGTAAATAGGTCATATACCTACATTGGCTTCATATCACATTTATCGACAAGATTTGCCTGACAGATACGGCCATATCGATTCATTATTTTCCAGAAAACGCATTTTTATAAAATGTCAAAGAATATTTTATCCACGAATAATTTTTGATATACTGAGTGTACAGCTCAGAGCACTTCCTCGTTTGGACGTTAGGAATGTAACATAAGTAATTATGTTTCCTAAATAACAACGGGGATTAATCAACAATTCTCGGGGAAATTTAATTATTTCCGATTCGATAGGTTTCTCATTAACCAAGTCTCCCCTTCTGAAATTCGATCCGGCAGATCGAAGACGTCACGTTGCCATGCCAATTATTTTTTATACCCGCATCCCTCGTCGGGACGAACTTCACCGTAAACGTCTTAGTGCTCGCAGAAACATAATTAGGCCGATTCCACGTAATACATCCCGAGGAAACCAATTCCCAAGGATATGACATTTCTGGTACCGCCAAACCCGGTAATCCGGAGTGCTTGCTGTAATCCTGGGTTCCACCACGAAAAGGACCTATCTACGGTGCTGCGACGTGTAACGGGGAATCCAATATGGCAGGAATGTACATGTGAGAGGAGAGAGAGAGAGAGAGAGAGAGAGAGAATGTGTGTATGTATATATGTGTTTGCACGTTGCTAGTCTTTGACTGGTGGGAGTTATCGGGTAGTAGAGTTTGCCTCAATCGGCGCGAAGTTACGAGAACTTCGCAGTGTCTTCGCGAACAGTCGGAAGGACAAAGATCCTAAATCCCTCCGACGTCCGTCTTTCGGTTTCAACTAACTCCAGATACGGTTATACGTACACACACACACACACGTACGGATTGTTAGGACGAACAATGTCCTACCCTCGTTCTTGCCGCCGGAGTACGCGGACTTCATTGCTCTCGCGGGATACTTGCGTAGCCAATTAGGGAGGTACTCCAAGAACGTCCATTAAGAGAGGTCGAAGTAACCGAGACGCGATGAAGCCTTCGACCTAAAGACTAAATACACGTTGCAACACGTATTATACGGCGGAAGATCTAGATTGCCGATGTCTAAATTATCCGAGGAGTTACACGTGGCTCCTTCTAATTATTTTTAGCCCGAAACGTACAAAAAGATATTGCGGTGTATATTCGCTTTGCCGGAGGGGAGGAGGGAATTGTTGAAGTCCGTGCGCGCGCGGGCGGGCCATATTTGGCTTTCCAGCGGAAAGGGTTAAAAGTTTGTACGAAGCGAGCGAGAAGAGCCGGGCGTGCAGTCCGGCGGCCAAAGGATTAAAACCAATTAAAACTTGGAACGAAATGCAAATTGGAGTAGCATGTCCGACCCACGGGCGTTGCGCCGGGCCTCCTCCGTACTTAATTTCCTCTTACCGTTGTCTCGCCTTGACTCGATCATCATCATCAGTCTTGTTAGACGCGAGTTAGGTAACCGATGAGCCCCCTACCCCCACCCCTCCGGAATTCCCGCGGGAAGCTATTACGCCGAGACTCGTGTGGGGATTGCTGCTGGCCTAGGCGGGAAAGACGGCAAGTAAATGGCGTACACACGCGCGCGGCACACAAGCCGAGGCAGCTTGACACCGCCGTGGGACGCGTGGGAAGCTTAATTGGGAAATACCCCGGTTTATACAGTAACGCCAAGCGACCCAGGTCGGCACATTCTTTATCTGTCGGTCGGGAATTGCCATCCGTGATCGGTAACTTGTGCCGTTACACGTACTGGACATCTCGCGAGAACGAATGGGTGCGCGAGAGACAGCAGCTGCGTGCTTTAAACGAAAATCGCGCAATACTGCAGAAAGTCTTACAGGTGATTGAACCGGCGCGTGATAAATTTATAATGAAATAATGATTCGAGGAATCGCATGCGAGAACTTTTTTTTACCGTTCGATAAAGAAGAGTAATAATTTTTTCGCAGCGATAGGAATAATTCCACACTCCGCCGCGGCAGGAAGGAAATTAAAGGCAGCCCGTCCCGTCGCTACTGCACTCCCGACGATCGCTTTCAACTCTTGCTCGATAGCGGAGCATCGGGATTGCCGATAAGGAACACCGAAAGTTCATTCGTTTATCAGGCGAGCCGTTTTAAAAGTATTCTTGTAATGAGGAAAGTTCCCTCACACCTATCTCGCCCGCCTCGCGCGGGAATCAAGCCAACCACTACACAAGCTACTCTATACGCGTCGCAACCTCGGAAACTTAAAGCTGTGTAGCGACGGTATTACTACGCTAGGATCGGAGAGAATAACTTGGAGGTGAAATTCCCTCTCTTGAATATTAAAGATAATTATCACTTAAGTTCTGAGAACATTCATATACTTCCCTAGCGATCGCTGGTATAAATAATGCACATTTGCTTCTTTTAAAAATGTCACAATTTTATTTTATCAGTTGAATATTTTTAGATAAAGATGATAAAAGCATATAAATCACCGCTTGGAATAAAAATATTCGTCTGTCTTTTGGATCAAGGTGTTTAAAATAATTTACGTCAAACTTATCAAGCTTAAGTTGTCAAAATTACTGGACATATTATAAAACATTACAGCTTTTATTATCAAATTATTTATTTTCATTGATCAACATGATTTTTATCACGAATGGACGTGAATATTCAAAGACTTTTTGTATTAACGTATTGTGTCGGTTACAACAGTAAAAATCGATTTTCGTCTTGTGAGCTTGAAGTGACAGTGAGTTTGCGCATTGATTATAGCTTAACAAGCGTGAACATACTATCGAGGTTTAGTTTGAAAACAATTATAATCGATATGTCGATTTTGACGTATTGAGACGCGAGAGTATGTGTGTTAGTCAATTGCCGTGCACCGCTCAATCACTGTATCTGTTACTTTATTTAGCCAAATATTGATGTTATCATTTTAGGAGTGATTGACGTTGGCCAATCGCACGGCGGATTTCTGCATACTCTCGGTAACAATGCGAATTTCAATCTGACACTTTAGACAAATCTAATCAAAACTATTGACCTTGCAACTAAATATATAAACAAAAACAACATACCATGTCGTGTACACAATTGAATTTCAGTTTGGCAGAAATCATCGAATTTAATAAGAAATCACAATACGTGATTAAATAACGGTGTATTATACCGTTGACGTTATATTAGCTCTGTAAATGGATATTCCATATATATTCCATGCGGAAGCATTAAAACGCTTAATTTATTTTTCATTTCATGATATCGATTCCGTTCGTGCCCGTCCAATCTGACCTATCTATTTGTGATTATCAATCGCGATTCACCGCGATACATTTCACTCAGTTTGCACAGTAGGAGGGCGCTTTCGAAACGTATTTTCCCCGATTTCGATGTCGAACAAATTATATCACACGCACGGAAATCGAGACCGAATGAATCAAGGGCTTTGCGGTATCAAATCCAAAAGTCCCAGATGAGCTCTCGCATCCCCGTTCCCCCCGTTTCGCCCCGATGTATCCTACTCGGCGCTCGAAAAACTCTCGTGTTATCCCCCGAAATAGAGAGAAGGGAAAAAAAAACACGTATATAATTTCACAAACGAAGAGGCGAGGAGGTGCCTGCGGGGACACTTTGGAGGCGGGAATTTAAGTGTTTCAATGTGCCCACGAGAAGAAATTCGTCGCTCGAATCTTTTCATTTCCGGTAATTCCCCATTCCGCCCGATCTCTCACTCGCCCCGTCTACGTGCTCAAAAGGAGAGAGGCCAGAAGCTATAGCTCTACTCCGCCGCACTCTCTAGCCCTCGTATCTCACCATCCGGATATCCTCCATTATACCCTCGCCCGTCTTATCCTCACGATTCATCATGAGG